GAATATAGGTACAAGGCAGCACACCACTGGCTATCACATCCTGGCTGAAACGTGGTGCCCAAATGACTGATCATTAGACTGATCAGTTAGAGCAGGAGACAGAGCACGGGAGGATCTTAACTTAACTGTGGAAAAAATAATTTGAAATTTCTGGGTTTGCACCACTCAGCGATTTAGACATTTGGACTTTGGCTAATGAAGACATCATTCAGTTATCGGAAAGTAGTTTTCAACTAAAAGGGTTGTGTACTTTTATTTGCACATAGCTTTTCCAGCAGTAAGTAAAGAGAAAATAAGTAAACATTTGTACAGCAAAGAAAATGTAAAAATATAACCCCAAACTTTTGTTAGAAGATTCTCAATTAGCTGTAGTCAAAATAGTGTAAGAAAATGACAGCCTAATGCGTAGTGGTATATTCCGGCAAGAATCTTCTAAATGCAAAGAGGAAGTGTCCATCACACTTCACAAACAAAATTCCATACATTATTAGAGGAATTTTACTTTATAKTGATTTTTTAAATTTACCTTGATATCATCATATCATATTATGCAATTATTATTGAAATTTGTTAATTCTTTTAATATCAAGCTAAGTTCTACATAATTATTGAGAGCAGCTGACTTCCTTATGAGACACTAGCTTGGAACCACATCAATCACCTCTTGGGATCCGTGCAGGGAATCCAGTTGACCTCCGGGTCAGGAATATCCTCCAGGTAGGGGTAGATGGTTTCCCTGGTGAAACGCCAGCCGTAAATGCCGTCTTCAGGAGTCACGATGATGTGGGCACCCTGGCAGGACAGGCTCCGTTAACGCTGCTCGGGGCACCAGGGAATCAGCCGAAGGGAAAGCACAAACCGACAGTGCTGTGAGCCCATGGAGTACCTGCTGGGCGGCTTCCTTGATGGCCTTCTCCAAGACGTCCATGTTCTTGTTCATGAGTGCCAGCGCATCCTCGGGAGAGGGAGGYGCCACGGYRAGSGCTGGCAGGATCACCGCGTGCTCGTACACAGCYGCYRTGAAGCGGCCCGAGGCAGCGGCCTGGAGCACGAGGAGGGCCAGGACCGTGCCCTGCGCCAGGGGCTGCAAAGCGACCATGGTGGCTGCCTCCTGCTCCCTAGGGAAACGCACAGGCACACACGGAAACACAGCAAAGGGTACATACACACGAAAGAAAAGGGTAATCTTTAGCTTAAAGAAATGACTTAGCTTAAAGAAACCGGGTACTTAAATGCAGTCACAAAACTRCTGGCAATGCCAAGAAGAGTTGTGCCAACACAGAAAGAAGTTATCAAATATGTGACTTTCTAGAAAGAGTTGTCTGAGTTCTCTTTTCATGTTTATCTCTGCCAATAATTTCAACATATTCTTTCCACTGTACATTTTTTATAATAGACATTGCAATAAACTTTTATGGTGTATTTTGGCTCAGCTTTGATACTCAGATAAAGGGTAGATTTGTCACCCCTGGAGTGCATGTTTTATGAACTCTGAACGGAAAAAATGAGGACTCTGAGAACCATCTCCTTTAATGCAAAGTCTTTAAGCTCCTCACCTCCTGAGCTATACGTCACTGTTCATAGCTTGCTTCCCCGAGTTTCTTTAGATCCAAGTCATTATATTTTCCCRTTATATTTAGATGAAATCTCCTTAATGGACCACTGRCAGAACTGTCCCTTGCTTCTGCCCCTTGCTTTTATTCCACTGACTTCCGCAATAGAAATTAAAATAAAACAAAATATTTACAAAACTGACAAAAAGAGGATAAAAAAATTATCACTTTTAGTTGTCAGCTCTTAAAGAATAATTAAAAAAGAGAAAAAGAGAGAAATGAAGGAACTTGATTACATTTTGAAATCCTTTATCTCTCAGGGCTTATATAACATGATACAATACCAGGAGGGAAGAGTTAAGCTTTGGCTTCATTCACACTAAAATATGTAATAAGACAGGTGCAACTAAGCTGTAGAGTAGCTCTATGTTTTACCTCAGGATACCAGACTATATGAAGAGGCCAGAGTCTAGCTTTTGCTTTGCTCTACATGACTTTTCGACAGCTTTTCACAGAAGATATGCACCTGGAGGGTGTGTTTTCCTCCCAAGTGAGGCATGTAAGCTGCCAGCCTGTTTGCCAAGTAGCTTTTGCCCAGCTGCCAGTCGCCTTAGCGGAAGGCTGGGCTGTTCCCAGCTCCTGGGGATGCCAGGAGTAGGAGACGGAGCTCAGTCAGGGAAGGAGGTGGCAGCGACTGGAGGCAATCCTGCCTGCCAAACTGAAAGGTCAGCCAGGAAATAACTCAAGTTTAAAAAATAAAAGAAAAAAGAAATCCGCAGAATGAAGCCTTATGAAAATACAGCAGGCTATAAGTAGCTTATGGAGAAGTTTAGTCAACAGCTCCTGCTACTTTCCATATTCCTCTTCTCTCARTCTGCTTTCTCCCCTAACCTGTGCTCCTTCTGCTGCTGTCCGAAGATGAGGGTTTTCTTAGGACTTACCTGTGCAGAACAGGACACAACTTGGCATTAAATCAGCTTAGCTGCAGCTGTAGCCTGCYTTCCAGCTGTAGTCCTGCTTCTTGTGCTGACAGGGATCCGGCAGACGACTGCTCTTTATCAGAAGGGTTAATCTTTGTCTGGAAAGCCCCGTGTGAAGAGATACACCTGCAACACGGAAATCACTGCACAGAAGCAATGGGAACATGAACACAGGGGTGTGGATAGCAGAAGCCACATCCTTGTTTGGCAACAGCAAATGGTTGTTGGTTATGTTGCAGAACACCAAGTCCTGGAGTCCAGATAAAAATGCACAGGCAGCGAACTTCTTCTCCATGCAAAATAAGAATATTCTCCCTTACCGCCATTATGTTAACTGCAGCAGGGGGTTACAATTTAGTACCCTTCTGTGAACTCAAATCTGACTTTTACAACATTTGYTTACTTACACGAAGTATTTTATGCCCATTCAATTTTACAATTTTATTTTATTTTGTGATTTTGGTAGATTAAATGTGGACATAGTTTTTATTTCTAAACAAAATTTCAGAACAAACAATAGACTTAACTCTATGAAGAAATTATAGCTATACCACCTAAAGTAGTGTACTCCAAAACACACCTCCTTTTCCAGTTGTTTTGTGGTTTTTGCTGTTTTTTGTAAAGTACACTCTGTCTTCATTGCAGTGCCTGCACTGACACATGTGCAAGTGCATTCACGCTGGCATCCAGCCTTTCCCAAACCTGCCTGTAAACTCTAGACCCTCCCTCATTTCAGTATGAGCAACCATTTCACAGGGAGACCGTGACGATACCTGCCTTTGCAGGCAGGTACCTGCAAAGTTGCTCATTTGTGAGATTTTATTTTCATATGGACCCGCCTGACTTCTCAAAAATGATGGCACAGCTTTCACTTAGTTTTGTGGAAAGGTCCTTTTCCACAGCTTAGAACTGTGGCCAAGAAAAGCAGACTCCTCAACAGAAAAAAATATTATTATAGTGAGTACTGAGTTGAATACTCAGCCTTGAAACAAGAATGTTTTGAGGTGTTCTTTCTTTTAAAATAAATGATAGCTTTTAAATGTTTACCTGTCTGCCTTCAAAGTTTCTATTCCTCTCTGCTTTAAAAAATATTTAGAGCATATTTAGAGCATTTAGGGCGTATTTAGTGATGGGGCTTAACAGAGTTCCAGGGCTGACCTCTAACCTCTCTGAATTTTTTCAAAAGATTAAAAATAATTTGTTATTGGGACACAGTCCACTGCTATGGACCTGAATACCACACCATTAAAGTMAGAGGAGGTTTTTTTTCTGTAATTCTTACGAAGAACAGAATCAAGCCTGTGACAATCAGAAGGTATCAGGCAAAAATAGATACAGAGACAGCTTAGGAATTTATTTTTGCTGCAAAATCAAGCCAAGAAATCAATATGCAATGACTAAGTTATTAGATAGGAAAATTATGATAAAGAATGCTATTATAATTATGGGCATTAACATTATGATTAATTAGCGTCAGAGGTACATATGAGATGTTAAAGGACCTACAGTAAAATTATAGTGAAGCTTCTTTTGTATGTCGTGGGTCCTTTTCATATCACCTCCCAAAGAGCATTACACTCAAAACTGGCCTAGATGTATGAGCCTGACCTATCAGACGTCCATCAGGTAGCACCTGATTATGGAAAAGTAAAATAAACTGAAATATCAAAAAAGCAGTGTATGACAGACACATTGTATGACAGACACAATACAGTATTTTAACTAATGTTGACCCAGTTAAGCAATATCCTGAAAAAAAAGACAAAAAGCATTTAAGTCTCTCATATAGAGCTACCATAATGCCTGAGAAAAAATAGACTTTTCTTTTTCTTGGGCAACATCTGATTCTAGATTTTTGGGAAAGTAAGCACTGATCTGGGATTTTGTATTTAATTCATAGGTGCTTCCATCATTTGGACAGGACTGAAAGGAATCATGGAAAGGGACTGACCATACTGGGTTACTCAGAGGTGGTGACCAATGCTCTGGGAATGCAGTCAGGAAAATTATGCAGCAATAAAGCTGCTTTGAACTGAAGCCAGTCATTGAAACAGAGGGCACTGGTAGTTTCCAAGTTGCTCTGGTGTCTTGCAATGGCTTTTTGGCTATGACATTAGTTCAGATTCCCCAGGGTCCAGCTGAACCCCACTGTACAGGACCTCTGGGAAGACGTAGCTAGTGCCAAACGTGCCGCTCAGGGAGAACATGTCAAACTTGGTCTGAGYRCTTTCCACGGGMTGCCCACTGCTTTTCTGGCCTGTGCTTTTACACTTCAGCAGCATGCATACCTATGAGTGACAGGATACAGCAAACAACTTATCTCTTAGCTTTAAACAATCAAGACCTGGGTTTGGTAGCATGAAAAGCTCTCATGATGAATGATTCCAGATATCTAATCATTTGTTTAGACTAAGGGGATCCATGGATAATCCAAGCACTTGAACCTTTGTGCTGAAACAGTTGTTCATGAGCATCACAGCAAATCAGCATGTCTGTGTAATACACATAAATACATGTGTACACACATGCATAAAGCATATGCATTGAGGCAGAGAAGTTGAATAATTCATGACCTAGGGAAGTTACTTAAGCGTTCCTAAATGAAATCATCATACATATCTGCCTACTCTGTGAAGATATAAAGAAAATATTATATAAAGATGTAGCATATTAGAGAAAGCATTATATAGAAGTTTAAAGAATGAATGTGTGAATGCGAAGGTTATATCGATATATAGTTTCTTCATCTTACTAAACTACTGTATGTTGGAACATGTAATTAGCACCATGATAACATCCAGAGCAGAGACCAGCTCTCTGTTGTAACAAGTCAATCCCTACTGATACAGCAAGATCTCTAAGATCTCTCCCCTTTYCTACACAAACATGAAAACCTCCTTAAAGTGTTACAGAACAGGACCAATTCAATATCTTAATTTTCATAACTTGTATCATGCTCATTAAATCAGGAGCAATATCCTCAATAAAAACTCATGAAGAAAACACTTTTTTGGGGAGGTGCAGGGAGGCAAGAGCAAAAAAAACTATCTTCATGAACTATCAGAGTCAAAAAGGGGTAAATGCAAAGGGGGTGAAAGCAGAATATTCCAGCTCTACTTCTGTCCAAATAAGAATAGAAAATCTTTACCTGCAAATAATATTCTCCTTAACAACATGTAGTCCATCAAAGGCACCTAAACCATAAATGTCATCATCTTGTTTCTTTACCATCTTGTAACTCAAATGGCAACAGAAGCCCTGCTGGCAAACAGCAAGACTTCCCTCAGGTTCAGTGAGTTCACTGAAGGAGAAGAGATCACGGTAAACAACTCCACTGAAATGGTGGTCATTTGGTGGGAGCCTTTAGACGCTGCTGGCATACAAATGCCAGTTAACAGCAGCAGGATAGGTGAGAGACAGTCGTGGGTGTGAATGCAGTTCTGTCACCAGGAGGTGACCATTTTCCATTTCTGTGTTATAATGAAATGCTCTTGGGCCACCTGGGGCATAAATACCACTGCCTACACATATATAAAACCAGAAGACTCTCAATATGAAAGCWAATGTGTGGTACAAGTCTCTAAGAATGAAACAAGCACCAAATTTTATTCTAATGTTGACTAGACACTTTCATAACTTTACAGACTATAATCCTGATCCAGTGCTTTTTGCAGCCAGTAGAAAGTAGATCAAACTCTGATGATTGTAGGCGACAGTATTAATACACTAATTATATGCTATTACATATGATGGAAGTGGCTGAAGCTCATTCCTCACTGAATTGATCTCCTTGTTTCTTCTACAACATATTTTTGATTAGAATGAATAGTAATATTGTCATGTCAAAAAATCTTTAAGGAAAAACAAGCTACCAGAAGTCACATATATATGCAACTATTCGCATAAATCTTTAAAGCCCAGAGTAAGACCCATCCACAGAGAATATGGGGTATATGGCTTAAGGTTGTAATGATTCAGAACTATAAGAACTGCCCAAATTGGCTTTCATTTGGAAGGCAAAGTTTAGGACTACTTAGACATATCAGTGAGTTTCTGTCTTCTGTAAGCGCATGTTCATTAAACTCACACATGAATTCCAGCATTTTTTCATAAAAATATTTTGTAAATACAAAGCCAAGGAGAAAACTTTGCACAAGCTCTCTGTTTCAGAAGCAATGTCTGCAAGAAAGCTCATGGACAACGTTTCTCGGAACTAGGTTTCCATCTACTGGAGAAAAAAATATTGTCCTTCAGATCAGCGAACTGCACACAGTACTCCAGGTGAGTCCTCACCAGAGCTGAGGAGAGGGGCAGGATCCCCTCCCTTGACCTGCTGGCAACACTCCTCCTGATGCAGGCCAGGATCCCATTGGCCTTCTTGGCCACGAGGGCACACTGCTGACTCGTGGTTAACTTAGTGTCAACCAGGACTCCCAGGTCCCTCTCCGTGGAGCTGCTTTCCAGCAGGTCGACCCCTAATCTGTACTGGTGCCTGCGGTTATTCCTCCCCAGGTGCAGGACCCTGCACTTATCCTTATTGAACCTCATGAGGTTCCTCTCTGCYCAACTCWCCAGCCTGTCCAGGTCCCTCTGGATGGCAGCACAGCCCTCCGGAGTGTCGGCCACTCCACCCAGCTTGGTGTCGTCTGCAAACTTGCTCAGGGTGCATTCCGTGCCCTCRTCCAGGTCATTGATGAACAAATTGAACAGCACCAGGCCCAGTACTRMCCCYKGGGGACACCACTGGCCACAGGCCTCCAACTGGACTCGGCCCCATTTATCACCACCCTCTGAGCTCTGCCATCCAGCCAGTTCTCRATCCACCTCACCATGTACTCGTCTAGTCCACTCTCCCGGAGCTCCCATATGAGGATATCATGGGAGACGGTGTCGAAAGCCTTGCAGAAGTCAAGGCAGACAACATCCACGGCTCTCCCCTCGTCCAGCTGGCCAGTCATCCCATCATAGAAGGCTATGAGGTTCATCAGACATGACTTCCCCTTGGTGAATCCATGCTGACTRCTCCTCAACACCTTCTTCTCYTTCATATGCCTGGAGATGCTCTCTAGGATGAACCGCTCCATCACCTTTCCAGGGACGGAGGTTAGGCTGACCGGCCTGTAATTGCCTGTCTCGTCCCTCTTGCSCTTTTTGAAGACTGGAGTGACATTGGCTCTCTTCCAGTCCTCGGGCACCTCCCCTGCTCTCCAGGACCTCTCGAAGATGATGGAGAGAGGCTGAGCAATAACCACCGCCAATTCCCTCAGCACTTTTGGGTGCATCCCATCAGGCCCCATAGATTTTTGGGTGGCCAGTTTGTCTAAGTGATCCCTAACCCAATCCTTCTCAACCCGCGGAAGGTCTTCCTCTTGCCCGTTTRTATCGCTCTCACCTGAGCCCTGCAGTTCATGRGGAGTGGCCTTAGCAGCAAAGAAGACAGAGGCAAATAAGTCATTTAGTAACTCTGCCTTCTCGGCATCCTCTGTCACCAAGGTCCCCTCCCCATTCAGCAGTGCACTAACATTTTCCCTCATCTTCCTCTTGCTGCTGACATATTTATAGAAACCCTTCCTGTTGTCCCTGACATCCCTCGCCAACTCTAATTCCACACGGGCCTTGGCTTTCCTTGTTGCACATCTGCATTCTCTGACAATGCACCTATATTCTTCCCATGTGGCCTGGTCCTTCTTCCACAAGCTGTACGCTTTTTTTTTTTTCCCATTAACTTTGCCTAGCAACTCCTTGCCCATCCATACAGACTTCCTGCCACACTTACTTGACTTCTTTCTTGTCTCAGCAATCCTGAGCTTGGAGGAGGAAGTGGCGCTTGAATATTAGCCAGCTCTCCTGGACTCCCTTTCCTTCTAGGACCCTGACCCAGGGGACTGCTCCAAAGAGCTCCCTGAAGAGGTCGATGTTGGCTCTCTTGAAGTCCAGGGTAGCTGTTCTACTTCTCACCAGCTTCCTCCACGCAGGATCGTGAATTCCAACATCTCGTGGGCACTGAAGCCAAGTCTGCCCCCTACCCTCACATTTCCTACTAGACCATCTGTTTGTTAGTAACAGGTCTAGCAGTGTCCCTCACCTTGTTGGCTCCTCAACCACCTGCATCAAAAAGTTATCTGCAATGTTCTGCAGGAACCTCCTGGACTGTCTGTTCCTGGCTGTGTGGTTGTCCCAGCAGATATCAGGGTGGTTGACGTCCCCCAGGAGGACCAGGGCCTGTGATCGGGAGGCTTCCCGCAGCTGCCCGTAGAAGGCTTCGTCCACTTCCTTGTCCTGGTCACGAGGCCTGTAGTAAACTCCCACCACCGTGTCACCCGTGTTGTCTTACCCTTTTATCCTCACCCACAGGCTCTCTACTTGCGTTCCATCCTCTCCTATGCTGAACTCTAAGCATTGCAGTTGCTCCCTCACATAAAGAGCAACTCCACCACCTCACCTTCCTAYCCTGTCCCTCCTGAAAAGCCTGTAGCCACAGGCCACATTCCAGTCATGGGAGCTGTCCCACCATGTCTCAGTAATTGCAATGAGATCATGGCCCTGTAACCGCATGTACATCACCAATTCCTCTTGTTTATTCCCCATGCTGCGTGAGTTTATGTAGAGGCATTTGAGTGGGGGTCCCAAAGTGCCTCTCCTTCTTGTCGGGGCAGCTGCAGCCTGACTATGTGGGCCTCCAGAAGTTCTCGTATTTTGCCCTTAGGCCTCTTCAGTCCCAGAGCGCCCTTCACAGGCCACAGCACTAGAATGCTGTGTGGCGTAATGGGCCATCAGTCACCATCTTATCTGCTGCCCCACTGATACCCTCTCCTCCCCGCCTTGAATCTARTTTAAAGCCCTCTTGATGAGCCCAGCTAGCTCCTGACCTAGTGCCCTCTTCCTGCTTTGAGAAAGATGGACCCCATTGGGTACCAACATGCCTGGTGCCACGTAAGGCTTCCTGTTRCCAAAGAAGCCAAAGTTATGGCGATGACACCAGCCATGGAGCCACGTGTTAATGGATTGTACCCTATGATTTCTTTCTGAATTGCTGGCAGCACTGAGAAGAATCGAACAGAAGATGACCTGCGCGCCTATGTCCCTGATSGTCCGCCCCAGCTCCCTAAAGTCTCTTTTGATTACCCTCAGGCTATGTGTTGCCACTTCCTCTGCACCCACATGTAGGACCATCAAGGGATAATAGTCTGTGGGTCGGACGAGTCTGGGAAGTCGCCTGGTGACATCCCTAATCTGGGCCTCAGGAGGACAACAGACCTCTCTTGAGGTAGGGTTGGGTCTAGCTATCGGTCCCTCTGTTCCCTGAATCTGGGAATCACTCGCAACARTAACTCGCCTATTCTCCCTCCTCTCCATGGTGACAACCTGTGCAGCTGGCCTTTCTTACTGTGGTACCTTTTCTGGAGGGGACAGACCCACTCTCTCACCCTCCACTGACTGCCCTACCTCCTCCAGGGCCTCATACCTGTTTGCCAGGGGCACCCTGAAGGGTAAGATAGCCTATCTGCCTGCCCGCTCTGCCGTGCTAATGATGTTGAATATTGTACGGACAGTCACTCAACCACAAGTAATGGAGCATACAGCTTTKTGAGCTTGATATACCTTCATTTTGTAGATGAAAATTCATATCAAGAAACAGAAGTCAAACACAAATGTCCATGGATCTGGATTATAACAGTAAAGGGAATTTGCACTTAAGTTATTAAGAGTAACAAAGCCTCCTCAAGAAAATGACTTTTACCTGCCCTCTAACACCTCCTAAATAATGCCAATAGAAACACATTTAAGTCTGGGAAGTTGCTTTTGTTTCACATCTTTACCTTCCTGGGGATCTTGTATTTCCTAAAATCTGCAGAATTGCCTCACCTTGTGATAACGAGCCACCAATTTYCCTTCTGAATCGAAGACAACATTGATATTGTATTGATAGTGACCATCAATAGTGACCAAGTGACTTGTGTACCTTGGATCACTGGAATTGCCAAGCTTCTTGTCTCCCATATTTGCAACCACATAGACAGAGTTATTTCTTGCCAGAMAGTTCAACCTCTTCTGCACTGGTAAAGGAGTGAATCAAATAAGCAGATAAAGGAGGGAATAGAACATCAAAAGCAGTTTGCTTCCAAACCCTCACAGTCCCACTGTCCTTCTTGGTCTTGCTTCCAGAAACCCTGTTCTTCTTTCTACAGAGGTTAATGAATCTTTTAATTGCTAATGCATTAAAAGAACCTTCAGGTAAAAGATATGGAAATGAAGCACTACAGGGGCTGTCACTGGAAGCACAGAAAAATGAGAAAACTTTATCAAAATATATCCTGTATTCTGCCTCATTCTGCCTCAGATTTATACTTTGAATTCTGAAACATACATAGATATTGTAGAAAATACTGTGATGCATCATCTAAGTGCAGTTGGAGAAAATGCCTTTGGAGGGGATCCAAAACAAGGAATGTTTTGCTGAAAACAATGTGGATCCACAGAAGTCCCCTGACAGCTGCAGTTCTCTTTCATTGTTTTAAATAATGACGATCTTTTATTTCCCATATTGTATTCTCTCTTTTTGGTATAATTGCAGAACAGAATGCATTTTTTTTACCCAGACCTAAAAATGCATTCTTTTAAAACATTCATTATAAGCATACTTATTCACTCCAACTTATTCACAATTCACTCCAACCTAAACAATTAGCTTAGGCTGGTTGCACTGATAGTGACCATCACTTGGGCATCCTGGATCACTGGAATTCTGTTGCAGAATAACTACCTAAAGTTTTTGGTTCACACCTTGGAGACAACAGGGGCAATTTTAGGGGCATGGGTGAAATACTGGTCTCAGGGAAACCAATGATGAATGTTGTCATCATCCTCCATGGAGCCTGCGGTTCAATCCAGTATTTTCCTAGAGCCTGATGGGTTGGAAACCTAAGAGATTGCTTAAACAACTTTAACAATTGGACATTGTTGCCCCAAGACTTTTATAAATTCCTTTGGCAGTGGTTTTGTATTAAAAAGCTTAGCATGCTTCTCCTCACATTAAATACCAGAGGAACACAGGGAGTTTCCCATAGAGAAGGAACAACTTTTCACCTTCAGATCTCCTTTCTGTTCCCATTGTGGAGCAGAACATYAGTGATATATGGGTATGTGTTAATTCAACATTCTGCTTCAATTTCAGATTAAGCTGCCAGCCTAAGGTAGTTCAGCATTGCTTTCCTCTACATTACTTTTAATTATCCTTACCTAAACATTGCAAACACAAAGAATGGTGTAACTTATTAAGGAAAATAAAACTTTAGCTTTCTTTCCTTTATAATTCTCCRTGTCAGCAGAACTGGGCTGAACAACATCATGCCTTAATTTGATGCAAATAAAATATACTTAGGGAATGAAAAGGTCACTGTATCATGTTTCTTGTTCATTTGGGGTCCAAATTGAAAAAATATAAATCCAAAATTGAGCAGTRTATTCTTTGAATAACTTCTACTTTGCATTTACAGATATTCTTATAGCTTAGACATGTTCTACAACATGCATGGAATACATTAAATAAATGTAGATTATGCATACTTAATACTTTTCTTAAAAAAATCTTTATGGTTATACTAACTAAAATCAAAAGGATTACAGTGTGAAAAAAAACTATTCTGAATGACGTTTGAGGCTATTAGGAGCAAATACATAGAATCCAACTTATTTTCATCTCATATTTAAAGCTATCCATGACCACTTTTAAATAGAGATCTCTCAGAATCACAGAATGTTTGAGGTTGGAAGGGACCTCTAGAGATCATCTAGCCCAAAGCCCCTGCTCCAGCAGGGACACCCAGAGCACGGGGCACAGGGCGGCATCCAGGCAGGTGTGGAAGATCTCCAGAGAAGGAGACTCCAAAACCTCCCTGGGCAGCCCGTGCCAGGGCCCTGTCACCYTCACAGTGAAGTTCTTCCTCATGTGGAGATGGAACTGCCTGTGTTTCAGCTTGCACCCATTACCCCTTGTCCTGTCACTGGCAACCACTAAGAAGAGCTTGGCCCCTTCCTCCTTACACCCCTTACACCCCTCCTTACACCCCTTCACCCCTCAAGTACTTACTCATATTGATCAGATTCCCTCTCAGTCTTATCTTCTCCAGGCTAAACAAGTCCAGCTTGCCTAGTCTTTCCTCCTAAGATAAAAGCTTCAGTCCCTTAATCATCTTTGTTGCCTTCTGCTGGACCCTCTCTGGAAGCTCCACATCTCACACTGGAGAGCCCAGAACTGCACCCAATACTCCAGGTGTGGCCTCACCAGAGCTGAGGAGAGGGGCAGGATCCCCTCCCTTGACCTGCTGGCAACACTCCTCCTGATGCAGGCCAGGATCCCATTGGCCTTCTTGGCCACGAGGGCACACTGCTCACTCATGGTTAATTTAGTGTCAACCAGGACTCCCAGGTCCCTCTCCGTGGAGCTGCTCTCCAGCAGGTCAACTCCTAATCTGTCCTGATGCCTGGGGTTATTCCTCCCCAGGTGCAGGATCCTGCACTTGTCCTTCTTGAGCCTCAGGAGGTTCTTCTCTGCACAACTCTCCCTTTCATCAGCCCAGTCCCCCTTCCACAGTAGAGACAATACCTTTCCAGATCAGTACATGGAATCCAGTCCACCTGTGGATCTGGGATATCCTCAAGATAAAAGTATATTGTTTCCTTTGTGAAGACCCAGCCATAAATGCCATCCTCAGGTGTCACAAGTCACAATGATCTGGGCGCCCTAACGCAAATTCAAA